AAAATTAAAAGTTATTACAACTCTTCATTTTTACAACTGTGTTAAATGTAATAATTACACATGTAAATAAAGTTTTTATAATTTACACATTTTTGTAATTTAGAATTTTATATATTATATCATTTAAACATATTTTGCCATATTAAATCTTTATCTAGATTTTTTTGTTTTTTAAATAACACAAAATGTAACATAATATTTAAATCACATGCCCCCAATTCAAGCTCACGCTTTAAATGTTTATAATTAACTATGTTTAATTGAGTCTCACAGAATGTTTTAATGACACGACGTACTATAGTAAAGACTGGTGCGTTCACTGTGTTAATAGATGTCGAAAAGTTACAAAATCTGAATGTTAATGCCGAAGTCTAAGATGATTCTGAAAAGAGTGAAGATGTAAATGCGTGGGATGGATTAATGATGTCTCAAATTTAACAGAAAGCGTTTGTCCAATTCTCACCAAGTCGTTCACAATTACCAAATAAGACGCAAATGGGATATCAAAGTCCTATTTATAACACTCAGATGGGAGAAGAATTTAAAACATCTCCACAGCTTATGATCACACCAGCTATGCCAGTCCAAACGAATACATCATCATTCGACAAATTCTCATCCCCGTCACTCGGTGGCATGTCTCCTTATATCATTCCGAACACTTCACCTATTCTCTTTGGCGCAGCTCAAGCTTCCCCTCTCTTTAGAAGCAGTCCATCTCCATATTTAATGTCAAGCAATCAAAACTTAGCGTCCCTTCAACTGTCAAGATTTACCCCTACATTCACACAAATTAATCCACATAACAATGATAAAAGTGAGTGTTTTTTTTGTATTGTTAAGTTGAATGGTATTTTTATTATCTCGTTACTATTCATTTTGTGAAACAATTATAATTTATAAATTATAAAATTCTATAATATATACAATTATTTTAGAATTATATAATTCTATTTAATATACTATAAGTATTTAATAGTATATATTATGATAAAAGAGTAATTAAACAAAAAGTTTAATAATATAGTTGTTTTTTTAATTACAAGTATTATTAAATAGAGTTTATTATAAATAATTAATAAATAATAATTAAAGTTAAGTATTTCTTTTTATAATTTAAGTTAAAAATATAAAATAATAAAAACTGTTTGACTTTTATAATATTTTTATTAATAAAATATTGAAATTTGTTGACATTTATCAAATAAATATGTTTAAATTATTCAATAAAATTTATACATTCTTGAAAAGAAAAATGGTTGATTTACTTACAAAAAAGAAATTAATAAATGAATTACAACATAACAGCTTCTCTGTGTACATTAAACGATATTTAGACTGTATTATACAGCTTTAGGGATTGGTTTAATACGCCTCGTCAATCTAACTAAGAAATCTTCACCAGAAATCAAGAAACCAATTTTACACACAATATTTCCAAAATGCAGTACGAACACATTTTGGATGATGACATCATCAACCTTATACCCAAAGAAATTTAAGGCTACTTTAAATCCGGGATAGTTGTTACATTGAGTGTTGCTTTTTTTCAACAATTTTAATTCCCAAAGCTTGTATTCAATTGAAGAATATCCCAATGACACTTTGAACGACATAATAAATATACGCCTCCGTTGAGTTCTTTGCAGTATCAAGTCTTTCTTTAATCGTAATGAAATCGCTTTTTACTAATTTTTGTTATCGAGTGGGAGTGACACCAAAAGGAGTCCTATTTTATTCCCAAATTGTA